AATTGCTTTATTTTTTGAGTTCTCATTTTGACCTTAAAGCAATTTTTTTTTTTTCAATTTCCCTATTTTCTATATTTTTTATATTCTTTTCTTTCTTTATTATTCAGGAGTCTTTTCCATTATTCTTTTTTCAGTAATTTGCTTTGCAATTAAAGAAACAAATACAGAAGATCAATTAGTCGGATGTCAGAGTCACCCATTTGAACACCGATTTTCAATGAGGCAATTGAAACCAGACAAAACATGACAAACCTACTATGAACATTTTGCCCTATCGCGGGAGCGGAGACTAAGCTTAGATAATATCTATCTATCTCTCTCTCTCTCTCTCTCTCTATATATATATATATATATATATATATATATAATATAATAATAAATAATAAAAAAATGAAATAAAATATAAATCTATCTATCTATCTATCTATCTATCTATATCTATATATATATATATATATATATATATATATATGATAAATAATAAAAAATGAAATAAAAAATAAATCTATCTATTTTATCTATCTATCTATCTATCTATCTATCTATAAAATATATATATATATATATATATATATATATATATATATATATATATATATATATATATATATATAAATCAATTAATTTATAATATATATATATATATATATATAATAAATATATATATATAAATCAATTAATTTATAATATATATATATATATATATATATATATATATATAAAAATAATAAAAAAATAATAATAATAAAATATAATAAAAAATAAAACAAAAACACTAAAGAACTTTGGATTATTTACCTAAAAAAGTTTCTTTCCTATTTTCTATATATTTTTACATACACACACACACACACACACACACATACACACACACACACACACACACACACACATATATATATATATATATATATATATATATGTATAGAAAGAGAGAGAGAGAGTTATAAATAGATAAATAGATAGACAAATAGATAATTATAAATTTCGAAACGCAGTAAATTTTAATCAACTTAGTTTAGAATAACATCAAAAAAATCAAGTAATATGCCGGCATTTCAAGTTCGAAAAGTATGTTATCAAAACTGGTTTATAACAGTTTTATAAACTTCATGTTGTTGTTATTCTCCCTTCTTAATTCTATAAGACGTGTAATCATGGCTCTCCACAATTTACTATCCTTTGTATCTCTTAATAATTCTTACCTGTTTCTTATCCCTGCCAAACCTCGTTCCTCTAATTATTTACTCAGACTCACCAGGTAAGCTATGTGTTGTTTTCATTTCCATCTTGCTTTCCATCACTCTTGTGAGTATCAATGTTCCAAACCTTCTTGCTTCATTGAGCCCAAGAAATTTCAACTATTTTTCCTTATATTAAGTATAAGTTTTCTTTTGTGTCTTCATTTTCATCGTTTCTCACACTTTCAGGTCATTGCATTCTCATCATTCTTCTGTAGAAGCACATATATATTGATTCAAGTCTCTTCTTCGTTTGTGATGATATTGTTGAGCATTCAATGCAGTATAGAAGGATTGATATTAAGCACTAGTTAATTACTATTTTCTTTGTTTCTAACAAGATTTTCCTGTTCCTTAATACTTTGCTTAGCTTTTCAAAAGCACTTTTCCCTATCCCAATGTGTCTTCGAATATCAGTGTCGCCCTTTCCGTCCTAACTTCAATAAAATCAGAATCAGTATACGAAGATTAACTGAAAAAGTTCATTGACTGACTATGAAAGAGTGATACTAGAGTTGTGAAATCTTTCATGCATTAATTTTAACTATACTTTGACATAAATGCATTTCTTTTTGTCATATATAGTGATATTTGACCAATCTAAAAAGACTTCAAATTTAATTAATATCGACTTTTCTTGAAAACGGACAAAATTTGGTATCGCTGTGTTATAAAATGCCTTCAGAAAAAAGGTTTAACTCCCAAGAACATTCACGTTGACAATATTCCTACATTAAGTGATGAGGCTCCAGTTTTATCAACAGTGCAAAAGTTGGCAGCTCTCTTTAGGAGGAGAGAAGATTACCCATGTTCTGAACGGCATGACACTGTGACCAACGAGGAAAACATTGATCATATTCACTAGATGGTGACGAATGACAGGCTATTAGCTATAAATCAAATAACTAATGTCATTACTATATTCCGTGAGAAAAGTGAGAATATTCTGCACAATGAACTTGGCATGAGTGACACGTCTTCTTACACCTGATCAAAGGCACACCATGCCGATAATATCACGGGGGAGAATCTGACATTGTATGAGGCAGATGCATATGATTTCTTTGAACATTTTCTTAACCCAGGATGAGAGCATTGAGCCCAAGACAAATAGACAATCTATGGAGCTCTCATTACCCGATCACTTACAATAGGTTATCAAGACCAAACGGCCAGCAAAATTGTGGAAAAGGATCTTGTTTCATCAAGATAATGCTCCAGCACATATGTCCTTGATTTCAATGACGGATATGCGTGATTCTGACTTTAAACTGGTTGATCACCCTCCCTATTCTACTATCATCACTTCTCCAATATCACGAAAAAATTATACATGACTGGAGACCAGTATCGTATTGATGATTACGTCATATCTGTTGATTAACTTTTGTTTAACAGGATGAGAAGTTTTCTTGGAAATAAAGAAAGCAGTTATTAATAAGAAAAGTTGAAATTAATGCATGTAAAAATTCACGGCTAGCATTACTCATTTTCGTCAGCTTACGACATTTTCAGACTAACCTTTTAGACGCCTTCTCAATTCCAGTATAAATTTGACTGACTATGAAAGAGTGATACTAGAATTGTGAAATACTTTGACATAAATGCATTTCTTTTTCATATATAGTGATATTTGACCGATCAAAAAAAACTTCAAATTTAATTAGTAGCGACTTTTCTTGAAAACGGACTAAATTTGGTATCGCTGTGTTATAAAATGCTCGAAACCTTTCATCACTATAATCAAATCTCATGTGCTATACATGCGACTTTGCCGTTACAAGAAGAACAAGAGAGAGATTTCACCAAAGTAGTCAAAAATTAGTTGAAAATACAATTCAGATTTATTCTCTGTATTTTAAAGCGGTCATTACAAATGGATTATACTGATTTAGTAGACAGTTGTCCTGTTGATTGTACGTGTTATTATGTCCGTGGTGATTGAGTTTTAGGTTTCACCTGTATTGAATTCTTAACTTTTATAAAGGTCATTCTTGTTACTGGAGGCACGGTGGAGTAATGGATAGCGGCTTGCATTGAGGAATCGGGGAGCCGAGTTTGAATGCCAGTCGAATCCATTACATTCACTTACGTGCTAATACCCTTTGGAAAGGTGTGAATCCTCTACTTCTCCCTCCAGCTATGGGTAAATAGCTAGACCGATTGGGTTCTATAGCCTTGGATGACAACTGGTCTAAGAGAAGGAAAACTCTGAATTCAAAACCTGCGGAGGGTCGTTTGGGGACCTTGTGGCACTTAGTGCACCAGGTCTTTGTATTCGGCCCTTCAAAAAGTGTGGATGGTCCTGCACGAAACCTTCACCACTATAATCAAATCTCATGTGCTATACATGCGACTTTGAGTACTGCTTGGGAATTCCAAATTCCCATGAAACTCCAATATTGGAGCCGGCTCAACCCACCCAGGGTGAATGCCGTTACAAGAAGAACAAGAGATTCTTCTTCTTCTTCTTCTATATATATATATATATATATATATATATATATATATATATATATATATATATATATATATATATATATTCCTGTAAAGATGACATTAACTAGGTCACTGTCCGGACTTTACCCCCTCACTTACTCTTAATTATCTTAATAAAAATAGATTTAAAATTATTCCTATATCTACATTCCCTCTCTAATTTCGACCATATCTTACTTACTCCTCCTCCACCTCTCTCTATCCCCTTACATCAACTTAAAACTACTCCTCAAAAGTGTATAAAAATGATACGTTAATTTAAAACCATAAAACCATTTTTTAACCTTTCAAATGTGATCTTATGAACCAGGAAAAAAAAACCACATACCTTGGGAAATAAAATATAATCAATGGGCCCTTAAGGTTGTCTGTTTTCTAATTAAATTAAAATTATATATATATATATATATATAACAATTATTGAGATCCAAACAATTTGCCGCAAACAGCTGACAATTTCGTCCAGGGAATTTTCAATGCAAATATATTTTTTCTAAATTGAATGAATTCTCACGTTTCTTCCCGGGAAATTTGAAATGAAAAGGAAGGAAAGAAAGAAAAAAGAAAAATAAAGAATAAAAGGAAAGGAAGTAAGAAATCTCTATCTATAAAAGGCAGGATATGAATGTGTGTGTGTGTGTGTGTTTGTGTGTGTGTGTGTGTGTGTGTGTGTGTGTGTGTGTGTGTGTGTGTGACGAATGCACGGCCGCAATTTGCACCAAAATTTACATGCACATGCTCCAAGTTACCGGAAGGCCAAGACCGACTTTGCATTTCCCAACTCCCATCGATAGTGGAAATAATCGATTTTTTCATGCTTTTACGGCATTTTTCATGTAGTTTGCGGCCATTTTCTACTGGCCAGAGTGAGAGCCTGTAGCTGGCTGCCACGAATAAGCAGGATGATTTAACTGGCCAGCGTGAGAGCGAACAGCTGACTGACACGAATGTTAACTAGCATGCTAGCATACAAAAAAAATCGATAGTTGCATTCGCCACAAGTGGGAAAAATTTAAATCTGCATAGCACTTTACTCCAATTGACTCATTCGCTTACTTAAACTCAACGTTGATTTTGTTTCCGCAGAACTGCGTTGGGTGTGAAAAAGTAATTGTTGTTAACATTCTTTTTTCATTCGATTTTTACAGTTTCGAGTCCTTTTTTAAAGCTGATCGTTTTGTGTTCATTTTGTTTAGTTCTTTTTTCGTAACAGATTTAATGTTTAGTATAGAGCTTAGAAAAAATTCGCAGTGTGAGATA